AGGGCCGGCATGGCAGGCCTGGGGATTGGACCTCCGGCCCTTGCAACTGCTTGTAGGCACTTTAATCCACTTAACTATTCGGCTGGCCCTTTCATCATATTCTTTTAAATGACTTTTTAAGAGTGATCATAACAGCATTTAGTGCTACAAATGTGAAATATAAGCAAGGGCTTTATTAGCTCTACAGTCCTACTTATCCAGTCTGAGTCCTTACCGAATGTCATCCGCCCACTGATAATCTCTGGAGACTTTTTCATGTCATTGATGGCAGCAATTGGGAGGCCCCAGTTGGCCACTGGGCCCCAAAAGTGCTACAAAAAATGAGAAAAGAAGGAAGAGGAAAGAGTTAAGGTAGAACTATAAACAGCTACATTTGCCCTCAGTTCAAGCAATGTGAATATGTGAAAGCAAGCTTAGTGTTTACATCTTGAAGGTTTGCTGGGCTAACTTGTGGATGGTTAACCGCGAGTGAGGCTTGCTTTTCAGGTACTTTCATGAGTCAGCAGTTCTACCAAGAGGAGCACAGTGCTAGAAAGGATATGGCAGCTTACTAACAACCCCACCAATTTCCAGAGCAACACTCAGCAATCTGTCCCCGTTGGAAAATTTGACAAAATCAACTTCTGAAACAATTCACTTTCTCTGTCATTTAGACCTGATTAGGATTATTCTCCATAATGTTTAAATTTGTGAAAATGCCTTTTTCCAAGTTTTTATAATAATTTGTTAAATATTCTTAACATTCAGACCCTAAATTAGATTTCTTTCTTTCCTTCCTTCCTTTCTTCTTTTTTTCTTTTTTGGTGTGTGGCCAGCTCAGCCCACCCTGGGGGGCAGGGCTGGCATGGCATGTGGTGTCAAGGATCCAACCATTGTCCCTGTGCACTTGCCTAAGCAGGTGCTTTAGACCACTAAGCTATCTCACTGGTCGGTCTGTCTGTCTATCTGTATTTCTATCTCTGTCTGTCTCTCTCTGTTTGTGTGTGTGTGTGTGTGTGTGTGTGTGTGTCTGTCTCTCTCTCTCTCTCTCTCTCTCTCTCTCTCTCTCTCATGAGGTAAGGTCTTGCTATGTAGTTCAGGCTGCTCTTGAACTCACTGTAGCCCAGCCTAGCCTCTAACTTGCAGCGATCCTCCTGTCTCAGCCTTCCGGATGCTCAGATCATAAGTGTGCAACACCATGCCCAGCCTGCATATCTTTTCCAAAGAAAGGAACTTAATAAGAGAAGAGAATGTTTTTCAGTGCATATGAACTATAAGGTCAGAAAACTCAGAAACCAACAACCAAGATCCCAAACAGAAATTCAGATTGGGAAAAAATGTTTTCAGTAATAAAAACTTGCATTAAATGGACTAACAGTTTTT